ACAAGATTTTGTCATCCTTCTATACTGCATATATATATACTCATATATCTCTGTAAACTACTTGTAGACTTCTCGACTTCTCAACAGGAATCACCGCTATAGACTGCCCAAATTTTGAATTGATAGACAACAAGGAATACATCTAATCAACAGGAACCATCGCAAACTCTTGGGATACTCTTGCATGACCGAATAAAACGGTTTGACCTTTACTCTTATAGATCACCTACAATTCCAATTTGGAAATTGTTACGTGCACCATGAACCCTTGGCACCACAGTTCGGGCACAATGACCTCTGTGCCACGCCCGGTTCTGACAGATGTTAAAATTTAATAATTATGCATGAAAATAAGATATTTGTTGTGGAAAGTCTTGATACACTTAGTAATTTATCCTTATACAATAAAAATTATTGTTTAAAGGTAATGGCACAAGTTACAATATAGTAGTTATATAAAAACGAGTAGTTATTGTTTAAAAACGTATTAATATGCATGTTAAAATCCAGTAGTTATACAAAAATCAAACTGTTTGAGCTGGATCTTTGAAGTGACACATTATCACGTGCTTAGCACTGTTTGATTTTGTAAAGTTTCACTTACTATAATATGTTACAACTAGTTACAACAGAGACGTAGTTTTATCATTTTGTTAAGGTAGAGATAATAATGAACAATAAATGACTTGGCTGAAAATGTCAACATTAAAAGTAAGGATTTCTTTAAATACATTACAGGTAAACAAAATGTTAGGATGATAAAGAAAGAAGTGTATCTGATGATTATGAGGTGGCTGGGTTATTAAATCTTGCTTTTTCATCAGTTTTTTACTAACGAAGATTTAAGAGTATTCCAGATCTTGAACAGTTGATAAATAGAAACAAGATCGAACAAAATGACTGCATTAATTCTGAGCTTATTAAGAAACACATTTAAAGTTTAAAGAACGATAACGCTCCTGGGCCAGATAATATTTCCCCAAAGTTTTTGAAGGAGGTTAAAGATTGGATGTGTGAGCCACTTGCTACTGTTTTTTTGTAAGCCCTTGAATATTGGGCAGGTACCAAACGATTGGAAGTAAGCTAATTGTAACTCCTCTTTTCAAGGAAGGTGATAAAAACTGTCCCAGTAATTATAGGCCTATAAGTTTTACATCAGTTCTGAGAAAAGTTTTGGAAAGTCTGATGAAAGATGCTTTGCAAAGTAGAATTTTATTGGATAGTCAACATAGTTTTACTAAGGGAAAATCTTGCCTTGCAAATATTTTGACATTCTTTGAAAAGGTT